AGCCACCATCACGAAGGTGTTTCTTTACGTCCGAGACGGCATAGGTGCCTCGGTGGAACTGTTTATATAAGAAGTTAGCTTGATATCCATACCAAAAGGAGGAAATCCAATATATTGATTTTCTTACCATCCCAGCTCCCAAGGCAGCGTCTGTGGCGGTCTTTTCAAAGACCTCTGCGAAATGCTCAGGGTTTCCGGCTCCGCTAGAAGCAATCACAGGAATTGTGGTAAAAGATTTGACATCGTTAATCAACTCAAGGTCAAAGCCACTGTTAGTTCCATCCTTATCAATGCAGTTCAACAGTATCTCTCCAGCTCCCATTGCCTCTACCGCTTCAATAAGCTGTTTAACATCAAAATCCCTTCCTTCTCGACCCCCCTTGATTGTACATTGGAACCAGCAGTATTTTTGTCCTTGTTCATTGGGAAACTTCGTCTCGAAAGTGTGATGAGTCGTATCCTCTGGCGAGGACACATATATACGCCGAGGGTCAACACTGATAACAACAGCTTGTTTACCATAGGCGTTGGAAATTGTTTCGATAGCAGTCTTTCCACTCAGCTTCCTCCCAGAGGCATAGTATTCCTCTGCGGCAATCACTGCATCCGATCCAATGCTAACTTTGTCAGCTCCAGATTTGAAGTATATCTTTGCAACGTTCAGAGCAGAAACCACAGTTCCATCAGTGTCTGTGGTATCTTTGATGCCACCACCAATAGTAAGCGGCACAAAAACGGTCTCTGATGTTTGACGTAGAACTTCCAGCATCGGTACGTCTGCCAACGGACAGTTCCTGTACGATGTGATGTTGAGGAATGTCACTTCATCAGCACCCTCCTGGTAGTATTTCTTCGCCATGTCGACGGGCTTTCCCAGGTTTCTCACTTGTCCTTTCCCCTCAGCTCCAAACTTTTCTCGAACATCGTACTGATCACCTTTTGTAACCACCAGATCACCATCATCGTTGGTCCGGACATCAAGGCAGGCAATAATCCTCCTTGTGAGTCCGTCCCGAGCAGAAGAAAGATCAGATGCAGGCAGCTCCTCTATCTCCTTACCTTTTAGAAACGCATCCAGGACTCTTAGTCCAGCCTGCCCGCTCTTCTCTGGGTGAAATTGCGTTGCGAAAACATTGCCTTTCCCCAGAGCTCCAATAAAAGTCTCGTCCTGGTATTTGCCCGTGGCAACCTTCCATCCCTGAGTTTGAAGGGCAGTGGTATCAAGAGGGGCGGCGTAGGAGTGAACATAGTAATATTTGCTGCGAGGGTTGAGGCCATAATAACTTTTGTTCTCAGCGAAGATGGCTGAATTCCAGCCAATGTGTGGCACGCTTTTGTTAGAGGAATCAAATTTCTTCAGCGAGACGGGAATCAATCCCAATCCCTTGACATCGGGAGCTTCTTCGGACGTTCGAAACAAAGCCTGGAGGCCAACACATATTCCCATAAATGACTTTCCAGAGTTTATATGCTCCTTGATAGGCTCGAGGAACCCACCGCTTGCAAGCTGGCTCATACAATGACCAAAATGGCCAACTCCGGGTAAAATCAGGACCTATAAATCCACCACAAAATATTATCAGTAAGCTAAAAGCAAAATTGAATTAGCACATTACACGTACGTTTGCCTCCTTGACATCCTCTGGTGTCTTTATCCATTCTACCTGGCAGTCAAGCCTGTTCAATGCATTAACGAGTGACCGAATGTTGCCAGCGACATAGTCTAAGAGGTGGACGGTGGGCATGTTGACGGTCAGTTACAACGATGTATGGAACGAACGTATTGAATACAAAGATGAAGTAAAAACTCCCCGTCAATAGTTTGTATTCCCTCTATCTGGTGACTCAGAGCCGACTTTTTTCCTTATATTATTAACGAGTTAGCGAGGCCCTCACTAATATTTAACTCGCCAACTAGTTAACAAAGTAAGCTATTTTAAACGTCGAAATAAGGCTTGCGCTTTAGGTTCTAACCCCGCTCCGGACGTAGATAAGAGAACATTCATTCTTGCCTGCGTTATCATGGATCATATATATAATTTAATCTATCCCCCCGGATGCTCGCTTCAAGGATAAAAGAAACCAAGTCAAAGTATAAGAAAAGAGACAAAACTTTATGCTAGCTTCCATGGCTTGATATCCGTCTGGTTGAATAACTCTCTGGTGGGGGTGTCCGATACGAATGAGATAACCAACTAGTGGCATATCAAGGTACCAGCGGCCCTGAACCCATGTCTGAAAACCTATGTTCCTCCCTTGCAGTGGAAAAGATTAGTGTCCGGACTTTGGGATCTTTATATCCAAACCTTTGAGGTCGATGAGCCGGTTGCATGGCTATCCAGATGTCAGCAATAAGACCTTTTTAATAATTGAATAGAAACAACTCACAGGCGAGAACTGGCGAAGTTTTACTCCTGCTTCTTTCAACACCGCTGCCGACTATACCAAGGTTAACCATCTTGACAGTGTAAGTTGTGCGGAAGACGGGTACTCACATCGTTGTCCATGTGATATCCTTGGGAGTATACGACTTCCGAGATGCCAAGTTGGGCTATTTTGACACTGCAAGTCAGACACGGACAGCTGCTGGACGTTAGCGAATGAGTATAATTGACGGAGTAGGAGTGAAGACCAACGTGTCACAATAAAGGATTGAGCCTTCTCCGATTCTTTGCCTACCGGCCTCGAGCAAAGCATTCTCTTCAGCATGCATACAGAGGCAGGTTGAGAGAACTGTACCGCCGGCCTGTCCTAGGTTGCAACGAGGGCCTGTGAATACCATCAGTGTATTGTTCAACAGACTATCCAGGAAGGAGGTAGTAGATGGACATACAGCCGCCTTCGTTGCAATTCTTCATGTTCCGCGGGGTCCCATTGTAACCTGTAGACATGACTCTGTTATCTTTGACGATAACACAGCCGACCCGCCGTTTCATACAATTGCTTCGCTGTGCCGCCAATGACGCCAGCTGCATGAAGTACTGATCCCAGGCAGGCCTTAACCGTTGCATATTAAGCAAATCCAGGGAGTTCAATGCGGCATGCAGCTCGTTCAATGAAGAAGATGTATTGAATAGCCGGACATGGGCTCGGTCCAGTAGGTACGAAATACCAATTTTGGGGTCATACTGGCTATGATCGCTTATCAGCACGAACTTTTCTAGGTCTGGAGGTTCTAGCTGTTTTCTCCAACATCTATTCAATTGTTATTAGTCCCGTCTTGTCTCGTGGCAGGGGAAGGTGAGAGGTCAGACAGACCTATCGGTAAACCGGCGCCAGCGTAGAGTAATAGGAGCATCAACACTAATCAGCAGGAAGAAAGGGCGCAAAAGTAGGCGCTCTAACGCTGCATCATCCGGTATATCTGTGGTGACCCAGAGCTCACGCCATCTTGGAGTCACAAAGTCGATTAGCTCGTCAATGGTCTCGAAAGACTGGGCTGACGGGTTTGGCGAGCTGGTGAGAGAGAGCTGTTCAAACTGCTCCTCGACTACGGTTTGATGGTTTCCTGGAGCGACACTGATCTGCTGGAAGCCATGGTTCTTTACCAGAAAATCAGCTACAGACTTCTTCCCAGCACATATACCTGTACCACAACATCAGCACAGTTTCCTAAGGGCTTTCGATGTACCAGTATCTTTACCTCCACAGATGCCAACCAACATGTCTTCTGGACACGCTCCTTTTTCCGGTCCAGCGGCGTATTAGTTATTTGCAGAGAATACACGCGAGATTTGAGGATACGGCTGATGTTGTGATTCCTCCTCTTGTGTGCGGTTAACCGGGCAAGCTCTAGAACTTCCCCTCTATAAGTGAAAATCAACACTTAAACCTGCAGGTTTCGTCCCAATAATTATTCCCGTGTCGAAAGCAATGGAACTGCCGGATGAAATAGAATAGATAATGACTCATGGAGGAATGCTCCCGAATATCTTCTTTAAATATCCTCCTTGAACATATATATACATGGGTTACTGCCTAATTAACTGACTAACTAGTTAAATAAACATGCCAACGCACATACTGTAGAAACAGGTGCTGGCACGACTGATCTCCATACATGTATTTCCCCCAAACAGACGTTAGCAGGGTGAATATAACCAATGTTAGAGTGCATCGGCGGTACTCGCCGTGGATTTGCAGACTACTACGAGGCACCACCAGTCCGGGGTGCTAGTTAACCATCTGTCGGTTCATTCTGCTTGTTAAATTAGTTATCGTCTGAGACGCTGTCTGTGGCGTTGGCTGAAACCCGCCCAGCTGCGTTCCACGTTCTCCTCCTCCCATATCCATCTAAATGCTATAATAAACCCCCTTGACCACCGTACACATATCCTCCCGCAGGAATAATGCCTTCAGTTGATGTTGATGTCAACATCCCAACCTACCATCAAAGGAAAAACGGCCCAAGGACGATAAGGGTCACGAGAGCTTAAAGCGGCCAGAGCCAGCCCAAAAAGCAGCGAGACGACGGTCTGCTGACTAAGTCAGGTGTTATCCCTGTCTCCCCGCCGGCCAGCTTATCTAATCTGGCTCAGCGGCAGCCTCCCTCCCGCCTGGCGCAAAGGCTCCTAGTAGGAGGGTATAAATATCCAAATACATCTTCCTCTTTGCTGCGGGCTGTTGCTGCTGGTGCTGCTCATACATGAATCAAACGGCCTGCTGATACCACTACTAAACCAGTCTTGCTGCGGCCCCAACCTCCAGCAATATGCAGTACACGCCGTTTATCTCTGATATAGAGTTGCCCTTCTACTCGTCTCTGGCCTCGCTCAAGGTCGATCATGACAAGCTAGATGACTCTGCGCGCAAGGTCTTGGGCCTGTATGAAATAAAACCGTCTGACCGGCCTGAAGAGTCTTGTCGCATGCAGATACTAGGAAATGCTTTGCTTAAAGACGAGTAAGTGCCTTGTTCGGTACTTTGTTAGTGTCTACTTTGCTGCTTACAGATGACATCATCAGTGTCCCAGCAGGCTACTATCGAGCGGAGGGTGTGATCAAGAACGTGAACACGATAGAGGAATACCGGAATGCAGATAAGCCGGCGATATTACAGCTAGCAGGAAAGACTGTAGGTGTTGATTTTTGTTCTTGTTAATATGTATCGCTCTCTTTACTTTCCAAGTAGTGGTTGGATTTGCTAATGACCAAACTAAAGATATGGGATGCTATTAATGATGGGACCATATATTCGTGTCCCTCACTTCTTGCCTCTTTCACAGTTCTTTCCTTTGCAGATCTCAAGAAATACAAATTTTCTTACTGGTTTGCTTTCCCGGCCATACACTCCAGTCCGCCGTGGGTGCCAACGGCAAGCCCCATCAACAAGGACGAGACGGACTCCACTGGTCAGAAGCCTGTCGGTCACGCATCACAGCAGTTGACTGAGCCTGAGACTGTGAATTTGGTGGAGGCTGTACAGACCTGGCGGTATGGCGTTGATGCTCGTCAGCATGGCTTTTTCCTTGCCAAAAAGGTGTGGGCGGCCCCAGACGCGAAGCCACTAAAGGGGCCATATGAGTGGCAGATTTCATCACTTTCTGGGTACGAGGAGGGGTTCTTCGATAACTCCAAGGAGGGAGATCGCTATGTCTGTTTTGCTGACCCTTCCAATTACGACGATGCGCCAAGCTGGGTGTTAAGAAACCTTCTGGTTCTTGTACAGAAAAGGTGGAAGCTTAACAAAGTCCAAATCATGCGGTATCGAGACTTGCACTCAAGACGAGACCAGGGAAGGACTTTGATAATGACACTGGAAACCGACAGCTCTCAAACGAGTACTACCATTGAAGGGAGTGGCGCCCAACCAACATTGCCGAAGATCACAGGGTGGGAGCGAAATCCTGCGGGAAAGCTTGCCGGTCGAACAGTTGACCTCAAAGAATACATGGATCCTCAAAGGTTCGTTTTTGATTAGAATCCCACTCATTTGAACATAGCTCACTTCTGCTTTTAATATAGACTGGCCGACCAATCCGTAGATTTGAACCTCAAGTTAATGAAATGGAGGATCAGCCCTAATCTTAACCTAGAAGACATCAAGAAAACAAAATGCCTATTGCTAGGTGCGGGGACACTTGGAAGCTATGTTGCGAGAAACCTGCTTGTAAGCGTGGGTGCCATTCAATGATGAACGGGATAACAGCTAATTCCATGTTCCAGGGCTGGGGTGTGAATAAAGTGACATTTGTCGACAATGGTTCTGTTTCATTTTCGAATCCGGTCAGGCAGCCTCTGTTCAATTTTAAGGACTGTCTTGGGGGAGGTGCAAAGAAAGCTCTTCGTGCTGCCGAGGCCCTCAAGGAGATATACCCAGGTGTTGACTCGACTGGACATGTTCTCTCGGTACCAATGGCGGGGCACCCGGTTGTAGATGAAGATAAAGCAAAAGCAGAATTTGAGGTGCTTAAGAAACTTGTTGAGGAGCATGATGCCATATTTCTGTTGATGGACACCCGAGAATCCCGATGGCTTCCAACATTGCTAGGCAAAGCAAATGGGAAAATAGTTTTGAACGCTGCTCTAGGGTTTGACACGTTCGTAGTAATGCGTCATGGCTCCTTGACGACTGCAGGGTCAAAGGATGGACTTGGATGCTACTTTTGCAACGATGTTGTTGCACCAGGGAATGTGAGTTTTGTTGCCATCCATTGGTTGCCCAGTTGAGAACCAACGCTAAAGCTAAGTTAATTTAAGTCTACCAAAGCGCAGACTTTGGATCAGCAGTGTACTGTCACGCGACCGGGTATTGCTGCAATTGCGTCCGCTCTTTTGGTAGAGCTCTTCGTCTCTATTATCCAGCATCCGCAAGGCGCTGATGCTCCAGCAACTACCTCACCGGACGAAGACAACATTAAAAGCCCTCATCCACTCGGCATAGTACCTCATCAAATAAGAGGGTATCTTTCCAGGTTTAATAATGTTATTGTCACTGGCAAAGATTATTCATGTTGCAGTGCCTGCTCCGGTCGGATTTTAGACCTGTACTTGCAAGATGGCTGGGATTTTGTCAAGAGAGCCATGAATGAGAAATCATATATCGAGGAAGTAAGCGGGCTTAAAGAGGTATGCTACGGACGCCGTTTTGCTCCAAGATATTGACCAAAGCTAATAAACGTAGGTCCAGCGTTTGGCAGATGCAGTTGCCGAAGGAATCGGATTTTCCGACTCGGACGATGCTGATGATGATGAATTGGTCGAAATTTGAGTGTCAACTTCCAAGTTCAGTGTTAAGCTTCAAACAAGCCCAGATGTCCTAATTTTCTTGAGACTTGTCGCTTCTTCTTCGTATACCGATGAAGTAAGCTTCTTTGGATTCCTGGGCATATTCATTAGCAAGTCCTGGGAGGTAGAAATACTAGTTGGTATAGAAGACTTACACTGCGAGAAGATTCAGGCTTCTCACGATATACCCTGTGAAATAACCGTTTCAAGTCGTTTTCAAAGTCCTTTTCCCCAGACCCCTGATAATATTTGCACACGAAGTGGCCACCTTCTTTCAAAACGTTGGAAGCAAAATCAAGTGCCGCATTGCATAATTCCTGCTCACATCATTTTTAGTGCTGGAGATTATACTTACGTCAGGAAGCTCTACACGTACCATGCTCCCTAAATGATCGCGGGACTTGGTGCCGCTTGTATTCATTAACCTATTGCTGCGTCAACTAGGAGTGTTCTTTTGGTTTCCTAGTTAATGTCAAGGAAACACACATGTCACTTAGAATCACATCAACGGACCCTACTTTAGCTTTCGTTGGCAAAGGAGCCGCCTCATCCACTTTATTGATATGGGCGCTAGAACTTCTTTCTAGATCTATGTAGCCTCCATCAGTCTCGGCACCTGGCTCTGTAGGCGGAGAAGGTTTCTCCTGCTCGCCGAGTGCGGGTAGCTGTGACCGTGGTCGACCGCGGTTCGGATCCCGGACAAAGTCCTTGACATATTCCTGGACTCTTGGAGAAAGGAAATTTCCTTGAATAGTGGACACTCCTCTTGGAGGTTGGGCGGGAATAATGTCGACACCAACAACTCTTCCACGAGGTTTGGTGAGGTTGAAGGCAACCTACTCATCAATTAGTTCAATAATCTGCTAGACGGGTGTAATTGCTTGACAAACCTGAGACCAAGAACCTGGTGCATACCCCTTTTAACCTTCATTAGCATGCGAGCATTTCTTGCTTGAATTATCCTGGTAATCTCACAAGATCAACCACTGTTTGGCCACTTTTGAACAACCTGTACCTATCGTTAATCTGGTCTAGACGTTAGAATGTGGCCATTAACCCGTAAATAGAACGTTTGTACCTGTAATAGCTTGAAGGCAGCTCGGCTTTTCAGTCCTTGTATGCTAGCTTCCTTCGTGTAGGCGTCTTTCCCCTGCCTGGCTTGCCATTGCTTTGAAGAGATCGTCCTGGAGAGCACTTTCACAAACGAGCTACAGCTAGGGGAACCTCTATTCTGTAGAGCTGGCCTGAACATTCTTCAGTAGTGCTGATATTAGGCTTGAATGGCCGGCTTCTTTTGAAATCATCATCACTCGCTTTTTGCTCCTGGAGCTCAGGGAAGAGCTTGACTAAGCCTAGCTCGGCGAGCGGCTAAATAGAAGCTGACTAAGCCGGCTAGACGTGGGGCCTTTGGCTGCCTATCTTATCTAAGTCAAACATGATAAACAGATCTTACTCCAGGCTGCTGCCCGCCCGCCCACTTCGACGCTTCAAACAACTTCCAACCACCATCATCACCCACAGTTTACTCGGTATGGCGTGTATACACATACCTCAGGCTGGTAAGCATATGTTTGTGAGCATCGGGGTATTTAGGAGCTAACAGGTGCCTAATCTCAAGACCTCAAACCACCAACTGTAAACCAGTCTGTTTATCGTGAAGACTGTACCCTGTGTTTCGACTCGATAGTAGGCTCTCGCGAATAGTGCTACATTGTATGGGCTTCGAACTGATGAGAGTTGTGTTAGGATAACGAGGCAGGGCTAAATGTCTGTCTGCATTGCTTCAACGGAGGCTGTGCTGGAGAGAGACAGCATGCCTCTCTACATAGCCGTCGTCACGGCCACCCGTTGGCACTGAATATCAAAAGAACTAGAAAGCTGGTCGAAGTATGACCGTCTCTATGGTACCGGTACGAATATTGAGCTAACATTGATATTATAAGCGTGCGGAGCCGCCAGTTAAGATGTCGAAGCTAGCTATTGAAGCAAGCTCTGAGGATGATATATACGACGTGGCCACAAAAATAGTGTGCCTTGAATGTGGTGTCGACAAAGTGGAAGATTGCCCACCTAAAGCAGCTGAAGTTGTTGACAAACTGATGAAGGCACCCACTTTCTCCCGGAAGGAAGAGGTGAAGGCTTGGGAGCAGGAGCTTGTTCCATGCGAGCATACCATAGGTCTACAGCAGGGCTCCAACCAGGGTATCAGAATCAGAGGTATGAACTTGGGGCATATATCCAACCTGTATAGAGCGTCTAACAAATGCTATAGAACCCTCCAAGTGCTACGGATGTGACTTGCAGGAGAACCTTTGGCTTTGTCTGGAATGTGGTACCGTTGGCTGTGGACGAGCACAGTTTGGCGGTATAGGCGGTAACTCCCACGCCCTTGCCCATTCAAATGAGAAATCGCATGGCGTAGCGGTCAAACTTCGATCCATTACCCCCGAAGGTTCTGCGGATATCTACTGCTATACTTGTAATGATGAGAGGACCGACCCGGAACTGGCACAGCACCTATCCCACTGGGGGATCAATATTGCGGAGCAGGAGAAAACTGAGAAAAGTTTAACCGAGCTCCAGATTGAACAAAACCTGAAATGGGACTTCTCAATGACTTCTAATGATGGACAAGTTTTGAACCCAGTCTTTGGACCTGAGCTTACTGGACTTAAAAACCTCGGAAACAGCTGTTATATTGCCAGCGTCTTACAATGCCTATTCGCATTACCGGAATTCAAGGATCGCTACTTCAAACCCAATGAAGAGCCTCCACCTTCCTCTGCTCCAGCGGAGGACCTTGAGACTCAACTCAGGAAAATAGCTGATGGTCTCCTTTCTGGGCGTTATTCTGTGCCAGACCCAGCAGCAGCTGGTAGTACCTCTGACGTTGTCTACCAGCGTGGACTCTCGCCATCCATGTTCAAGCACTTGATTGGCCGAGGCCATCCTGAGTTCTCAACTATGCGCCAGCAGGATGCATTCGAACTACTTATGCACCTTTTCAAGATTATCAGTGTATCACCGCACTCTGCTACTGGTCCGAATCCGGTAGAATCATTCAGATTTGCTGTAGAACAACGATTGCAATGCACATCATGCAAAAAGGTGCGTTACAAGGTCGACGAGCAGGACAACATCTCAGTTGAGGTTCCGGCAATCCGACTCAATCATTTTATGCCAGGGCCTGGAACGGATCAGAAGTGGGAAACAGTACCTCTTAAAAATTGTATTGATCTGTTCACAAGGGAGGAACATGTCGAATTGACTTGTTCAGGCTGCGGTAACGAACAATTCTCCAAACAGTCGCTGTTCAAAACACTCCCACAAAATCTCATCGTTAATGCACGACGATGGGAGGTAGTGAATTATGTGCCTATGAAGCTTGACATACCCGTGGTGGTTGGTAATGAGCCACTGGATCTGACCCAGTATCTTTCAAAGGGCAAACAGGAAGACGAAGTGGTCCTGGAGGACGAACCTGAAAGCGCTGTCCCTGAATTTGTGCCGAACTCGGATGCCTTTGCTGCTCTATGCGGTATGGGCTTCCCTGAGAATAGGGTGAAGAAGGGACTGTTCAATACTGGTAACTCAGATCAGGAGGCCGCTTTGAACTGGATCCTCGCTCATATGGATGATCCAGACATCGACCAGCCCCTGGTAACTGGCGCGGGCTCTGCTTCGAGCGCCCAGAAACCTGCCGACGGAGATGATAAGATCAACCAGCTAGCTGACATGGGTATCGAGAGAGATAGGGCTGAGAAGGCACTTGGGGCCACTGACTGGGACGTGACGAGAGCTTTGGACTGGGTCTTTAGCCATCCCGATGAACCTCTTGAGCCGAATTCTACGGCAGCTACAAGCAGCTCGGGCCCATCAGGCAGCATCCCGGGATCCAGCGAGAAGCCAGCCTTGTTCGACCTGCAATCCATCGTCTGCCACAAAGGCACCTCGGTTCATGCAGGGTAAGAAAAGCCATCATCCTCCGCCCTCGTATTTTTCCACTTTGCTAACTTAAAAAACTCAAGTCACTACGTTGCTTTTATCCGCAAGCAGGTCCCGCCAGAGAAGGAACCGAAGTGGATTCTTTTCAATGATGAGAAAGTCGTTGCCGAAGCTGGTGACATCAAAGAGATGAAGCAGTTTGCGTACATATACATATTCCGTCGTGTGTAATTCTCGCATTTGCAGGGGTTGTTGGGTCGAGGTACATGATTAAGTAGTGACTATTCTCGTGGGTTTTACTAGGGGCCGCAGTCAAGGATGGCATACAGTACGAAGAAATTTTTTTCAATGGAGATCAGGGGAATAGAGTACATATGGAAGTTTGTTGAGTTGTTACATGCACTACAGAGTGCCCGGTGCTAGATTGAAACATAATACAGAAAGGCCTGTTCTAGTACAAAGTGATCAATCGTATTAGTATTAATTCCTTGAAATGCTCAGCCCGCGATGCCTGGTTTCACCCCTTGCTAGAAAAAAGAAAAGAACGCTGCAGATGATGTGAGAAGGGAAAAACCATGTATATGAAGCATTTGAAAGGGACTGTGATAGGGGCGTTATAAAAGTATAAATGATATCAGCATTTAACGTAAAGGGGGCATATATTTATGTATAAACCAATTGGTGGGTGGGTGTATATATCTACATAAGTATGTGGGTGAGGTTGTAACGGCTATCCATCCGAAGTGAGGATGGTAGCTCGGGAAGCAGTAGAAGGCGTGCGTGAAGGAGTGCCGTAGCTGTTGATGGTATCTCGATTATATAAGGACGGAGAAGGAAGCGGCAGTCGGGGTTCGCTATTGGTCAATGTGCGTAAGGATAAGGTATTTGGTGGCTCGTTCTTGGCCCTCTGTATGGGCGAAGGATTGATAGAAGTGGGTACAGGCGACTTTTCAGAGCAATCACCTGTCGTGCCTGACTCGGATATGGTAGGCTGCACGCATGACGACTTTGAGAAGAGGCCACGTAGGAACGGCTTTAGTTTGGCGGTCGTTTGTCTGCGCGGAAGCTGGGCTGGAGTGAGGGGCCGCTGGAGAGGTTTGAAGGATTGGGTGGGCCATTGGTGGATGGGAATGTCTGAAAGGGCTAGTTCGGGAAAGTGTTTTTCGATGTAAGATAGAGGAGCGCCACGTTCGAATTCGGGGAGAGAGACAACATTTTCGTATGCGAAGGTACGGGAGTCGATGCTGTCTCTCGGGATCTCGCCCAGGGATGAGCCGAGCTCGACTGACTTGAGCACCTGGGTTTTGGTTGGGGAGGAGCCTGGAAGTTCGGAAATATTTGGAGATGTGGGGGAGCCGACCAGTTCGGGGATCTTGGGAGGCTGCAAAGGATGAGAGCCAACGAGCTCTGGGAGGTCTGGAATGTCAGGGGTAGTGGTGTGTATGCTTATTGAAGAAGGGGAGGTGAAAGTTGCGGAAGAA